ATCACAGCCCTCCTGCCTTCACCCCGAGTGCCAGGGCTGCAGGTGCACCAACCACACCAGTTTCCAGTTCTCATTCTTGAGCGTTAGTTTGCAAACTGACAGGGGGTAGCTCACCCAGTATTTATGTTCGTAAATGTTCCAGTGGCAGCTCCAATTTTTGTTACATAAACAACTTGGTAACTTTTTATTCAACTTTATACTGACTCATTTCCCTAAGAAGAGATGTTAGAAATGTGATTCCGAGTAAAGGACTGATGTACCTTGTGTCTTCCTCTGTGTCTGCCTTCTATTTTGACAGCCATGTCCCAGCTTACCAGATCACCAACAGTTAACAACTGATCCCTTACAATGCAAGATACACAACCAGCAAAATCAACATCAACACAAATCTGAGAACCTCTAAGACCTGAAACATCTATAGTTCCAAGAAGTCAATTTGTTGGAATTTCTTAAAATTCAGCAGGCATAAAATGTAGCCTCCCAGGCTTTACAATTTGATATTTCTTTGGTTACTTGTTATGGAATATTTTAACTATGTAAAGATGTATTACATTTGTTTATGCTGTGGAATATTACTTTTTTAACTGTGTAAAAGTGTTACATTTGTTTCTGCTGTATTTGTTTAATAATGTAAGGATGTGTGTTTATGGTGGTATTTTATTTGTACTGAAATGTGATTTTAATTGTATGTTAATAAGTAAAGTTGCCCAGGAGTCAGAGCTATTAGAGCCATAGAAAGAGCATGGCGGTGATGGTGCATGCCTTTAATCCCATAGATCTCTGTGTGTTCAGGGATACAGCCAGCATTGGAGACATACGCCTTTAAGACCTGAAGGGCTGTACTTACAGGCAGTGATGAGGCAGTCATATGTTTGGGTTTACAACCAATGAGAAGGCAGAACAGAAAGACTATATTAAAGACAAACACACAGGAAGTAGCTCTCTTTCAGAGAGGTAGGAGCACCGCAGAAGCAAGGGTAAGGTTTTAGCTCTGAGCTCTGACCTCTCGGCTTTCTCTTTTACATTGGTTCTGTGTTTCTTATTTAATAAGACGGTTGGTTACATCTACATGTGTTTAATTATGTAAAGATGTGTTACATTTGTTTCACCTTGCCTGCCTAAGGCACTTGATTGGTCTAATAAAAAGCTGAATGGCCAATAGCTGGGCAGGAGGGGGATAGGCGGGGCTGGCAGGCAGAGAGAAGGAGTAGGAGGAGAAATCTAAACTTAGGAGAGAGAGAGAGAAACAAAGAGAACTAGGGGAGAGAGACAGAGAGACAGACACACACACAGGGCCAGAATCCAGGTAGCTTCCAGTCAGACATGGAGACAGCAGGAAAGTAAGATATAAAAAATGGTTAAAAAAAAAAAAAACAAAAAAACAAAAACCCAAGGCAAAACATAAAGAGAAACAGATTAAAACAAGAGCTAAGCTTGTTTTAGTTATGAAGGCTGAGTGTTCATAACTAATATTAAGTCTCTGTGTCGTGATTTGGGAGATAGAAAAAGCCTGGTACAGTTACTAGGGAAGTTTTGTTTTATTTTGTGTGTGAACACAAACACATATGTAGGGGTAGGTGGCTATGGAGGTCAGAAGTGGATGTTGGATCTCCTAGACTAGAGTTACAGGTGGTTATGAGGTGCCTGATGTGGGAATTGGGAACTAAACTCAGGTCTTTTGGAAGAGCAGCAAGCACTCTTTAGTCCTGAAGTTGATTAATAAAGGAAACTTACACATATAAGACTGGAGCTCTGGCTTACTTTAAACTCAACTTTGTATGTGCGTGTTTTATAAACCCACTGTCTACAGAGTGAGTTTACATTTCTGAACAAATGCCAGAGTGGTATGAAAACAATGAAAGAACACAGTGAGAGAGAAGAATGGAAGGAAATGGGGTAACAAAATGCTTGTCTTGGGCTTTCTATTGCTGAGAAGAGACACCATGACCACAGCAACTCTTATAAAGGAAACATTTCATTGAGATGGAGGCTTATAGTTTCAGAGGTTCAGTCCATTATCATCATGGCAGGGAGTGGGGAGGCTGGGAGTATGGCACCATGCAGGCAGACACGGTGCTGGAGAATTCTACATCTTGATCCAAAGGCAACAGGAAATGAACTGTATCACTGAGCATGGCTTGACCATATGAGACCTCAAAGCCCACCTCCACAGTGACACACTTCCTCCAACAAGGCCACACCTACCCCAGCAAAGCCACATCTCCTAATTGTGCCCCTCCTTGTGAGCTTCTGGGGCCAATTACATTCAAACTCCCACAGCACTCATACACAGTGACTACTGTTCAACACAGGCAACAAACGTCCTTGTACTTGTTTATCTGGCCCCTCTTTTCTACTACTAGATCTTCTACAACAACTCGGTCCTGGTGTTACTCCTAATGAGCAGCCATTATAGCTCCCTTAGCAGATAGGACAGTGTTCACCAACTAAGCCTAGCTTAAGAGCACACAAAACATGCTGAAAAACCTTCCCCAGCTGGGGTACAGCTTGATGGTAAAGCATGTCTTGTCTCACGTGTTGAAGCCCTAGGTCTGAAACTCCTCCCCTTGCAACAAAGAAAATCTCCCACTACAAATCTGGAATGGCCTTCTCCCCCAACCCCCCTCTGGAAGACAGGGTACATTGAGAGAGAAAGAGTGTGGGATTCCACAGAGGTTTCCTAGTGAGATCTGCTTTACCATCAGGGCTGCATAAAAGGATGACTGGACCACAGGCCTGAGTACCAGGTGTTTGGAAGGGTCTGCACTTGGCTATATCTAGCAGGGGGAGGTCTTTTGGCCAGCCCCCTGGCATTGTTATAAAAAGCCCTTTTGAATAAAGTTCTGGGCCGTTAGGTATTGACCCAGGTCCTCCCAAGGCTATCCTGTCTTTCCTCTTGTCAGCTAGGCCTATTATTCTATCTACAAGTTCCTTATTCCTCTTTCCTCCTCATAGGAACCCTGTAAAAGGTGGGGGCTGGTCTCCCACAAAAGAGGCAAGCTTCTCTTATGGTAAGAATTTTATTACCTATCAAAATTCTCAAACCCTACAGGAATGGAGGACAACTTGGAGGAGGAGGCCCAAGACAGTGCTGAACTACATACAGTCAGCTAGATAAGAATGTTGGCTTTCCTCCATTTCCTACATGAGCAGTGATGTGAAGTTAACAGAGGAAATGGGTTTTGGAGTCAGGCATACCTTCACAGCCTGCTGGTTCATCAGTTCACTGCCTGAAAGACAGCTTTCTTTTTTCTTCTTTTTTAGCTGGTGGGGTCTCATGTTGCTAGGCAGGCTGAAATTTCTAATCCCCCGTCTCAACCTCCAAGTAGCTGGAACTACTGTTGTATGCCACTACACCCAGGTCTCTGCTAACTTCAAGTTAATTAATGTCACTGGTGTGATGGGGATAACGATATGAGGAAATATAATCATAAAGGGGCAGTTTGGTGCTTAGCATAGAGCAAGGCTCAACAGATGGTGTTATGATTGGAATGAAAAGGCCATTCCTATCTCATTATCCCATCATATATGTCTCTGTCAATGTGTTAGTAAATAGCAGTTGTCTATTACTGCTTTGTGGCAAGCACTGCCCTAGCTACGTGCCTCTTTTGTTATGTCATCCATAGTATAAAGAAGCCTGTGAAACAATTGTATCCCACTGTGGAGATAAACAACTGATGCTCGGAGAGGTCCAACCCTTGCTAACCCTGGATTACTCTAGGCAGTAATCTACACATCCAGGAACTTGAATGCAGGCAAGCTCAGGATCTGAATGGACTCTGTGCTGTCTGTAAGCTAGAGCAGAAACTGTTAACTTTTCAGCGCTGCTTCGGAAGCGCAGCGGTCACTGACCTATGCTGAACGTACAGAATATCTTTCTGGGTAACTGCTGCCCAGCCTTCCTTCTGCACTGTGCCCAGCACCCCAGGGGAGGGAGATATGCTCTGTGCAGACACTGCTGACTGTCCCCTCCCCGCCTCGTTTTCCACTTCACTCTTCCTATTGCTAACTACACATAAATCACACAAGACACAGACACATCAGGAGGAACAGTAAATCAAAGTTTCATTCTGACTCCATGGTCCTCAGCTCTGACTTCCTATATCTCTCTGCAGAGCTGACATTAGAACTACGTTATCTGTTTTCCTCACTAATGACTGACTCACTCGCTGTCAGAAGGAAGGATTTACTCTCAAGTCCCTTTGTCCACAGCACAGGAGAGTGACTGGAAAGGGCGGAGCTTACCAGAAACTTTCATTTCTTCTCTTTCATCGGGGTTTATCTTCTCAAGTGCGTGGGACACAGTGCATTCCAAGACATCTGGAAATTCCTGTAGGAAACAGAGTACAATGGACATAAAGTTAGTCCTGCTGATTATAAAGTTTCTTACTGTCCTAAGCACTTCAGAAGCAAAGACTGTTTTTTAGGATTAATGGACTTTACAAGATAAAGTACAGATGTAAAAGGTTAAGTGTGTATGTGTTTATGTGTGTTTCTATTTTCTGGAGAAAAAAAGTCTCATTTTGAGCAGGTATTCAGATATATTTATAACCAAAAATAAAAAACAAACAAGAAGAGTGTAGAGTTGTGTGAGGTGTTAGAAATCACTGGCACAGAAGATAATTTTACTTTAAAATTAATCAATGAAAATCACCTATTTTGAATAATGACATGTTAAAATCTTATTAAAAATCTTCTATATACCAAGTGTCTTAGTTGCTGTTCTATGCTGTGAAGAGACACCATGACCAAGGCAAAGCATTTATCTGGGGGCTTACTTAGAGTTTAGAGGGGTAGTCCATGATCATCGCGGCAGGAAGCAGACAAGCATGGCACTGGAGCAGTGGCTGAGAGCTTTACATCCTGATCCACAGACAGCAGATAGAGAGACTGTGCTTGGCATGGGCTTGTGAGACCTCCATGCCCACTGACACACCTCCTCCAACAAGACCACACCCCCTAACCCTTCCCAACAAACACATGAGCTTATGCTGTACCAAAGGTTGGTGTCCTTACTTGAGCAGACTGACACAGCTCCTAGTGGTGTGTGGCTATGGATCCAGCAAGGCCTTTTTCTCAGTACATGTCAACAAAGACCACAAGAAACAACCTGCTTTCAGTTGACAAGTCAGCAGTATACCTTTACAGATTTACAGGATGTATTAACTCTCCAGCCCTCTGTCATAACTTAGAGGGGATCTTGATCTTTTGTCTCTTACACAAAATATCACACTGGTCCACAATACTGATGACATTGTGCTGATTGGACCAAGTGAGCGGGAGGCAGCAACCACTCTGGACTTGTTGGTAGCCCATATGTACATCAGAGGATGGGGAATAAATCCAACCAAAATCCAAGGGCCTTCTACCTCAGTGAGATGCTTAGGAGTCCAGCGGTGTGGACCATGCAGAGACACTCCTTCTAAGGACAGTGGTGAAGGACAAGCTACTGCCCCGGGCCCTTCTCACCCCAAGAGAGAAGCCCAGCAGTCAGTGGGCCTCTGGGATTGTGGGGACAGCAGGTCCCTCACTTGGGTGTGCGACTTCGGCCCACATACTGAGTGACAAGGAAAGCTGCTGGCTTTGTGAGGGGCCTGGGAAGGGAGGAGGCTCTGCACCAGGTCCAGGCTGCTGTGCGGGCTGCTCTACTGCATGGACCGTAGGATCCAGCAGACCCAGTGGTACTGGAGGTGTCAGAGGCAGAGAGGGAGGCTGTTGGGAGCCTTTGGCAGGCAGGTGAATAGGTGAATCACAGAAGAGACCTTTCGGATTATCTGAACCATCAAGCAAAAGCAGGACGTGTACAGCAGCAATCAAATGGAAGTGGCAGATACATGATGAGGCCTGAGGAGGTCCTGACGGCACAAGCAAGTTACATGAAGAAGTTGTCCAAATGCCTATGGTTTCTACTCCTGTTACAATGCCTTCTGGTCCCAGGCATGGACCTAAAGGCTCATGTGGTAAGCCCTATGAGCCTTTAGGGCTTGAGAGATAGAGAGACAGAGACACGGACTGACTGACTAGGCCTGGTATGGGCTTTTGAAGGGTCAAAGCCCACTCCCCAGTGACACACGTTATCCAACAAGGCCACACCTCCTAATCCTTCCCAACAAACATAGGAGTCTATGGTGGCCATTCTCATTCAAACCACCACACCAACTAAAACCAACAAACAAACCATCTTATCATTCTTTTGGATTTCAAGATCAACAAGCTTTAATCTGTTAAGGTAACATAGCTGCTTTTGCTTCAATAGACTTTTTACAGAGCAATTGTAGGTTCATAGCAATACTGAGCAGGAAGAACAGAGTTCTCATCTCCCTCCTACTTCTACAGACTTTGCCTCCGCCATTATCAACATCCCCATCAGAGTGCTTCACCTGTAATCATCTAGTATGGACTCTTTCCAGATTGACTTCTTTCACTTAGCGATATGCATTTCAGGTTCCTTCATGTCTTTTCTGGCTTGATAGCTCATTGCTTTTCAGGACTCAGTAATACCTCATTGCCTGGATGCACCAGTTTGTATCTCTCTCCATTTGTCTACTGGAGAACATCTAAGTTACTTTAAACTGTTGTCAATTACTAATAAAGCTGACACAAACATCCATGTATAGGATTTTGTGTGTATAAATACTCAAGTTTTTTGGGCAGATACCAATGCATAAAACTGCTGGACTGTATGACAATAGTATATTCAGTTTTGTAATTGTAAATATTTTAAGTTAAAATAGTTCTTTTCTTGAGTATAATTTTTAAAATTTTTAAAATTTAAATGTATAAATTTTTTAAAAGGACCATAAATTTTTTAAAAGGACCATTCCAATACATTACAATGAATAATCTATTAGGAAAATGATAAAAAGACAGCATCTATCAGTCAGAAAAATACTGCCTAAGATTTAACAAAGCAAATAATGTCTTTCTTGTGGCTCCTGCACACATTATAATACCCAGCACAAATCAGTACCAAGTGCTGACAAAGTCAGACACAGAAGAAACAGCTATTTCAGATAAACACACATTAACTCATTTCTGTACAGCAGCTGGATGGTTAAAAATAGTATGCCCAAAGGAACCAGTATTTCCAGCATACATTCTTTGTTTGAAACAGGGACCCACTGTGTAGCTAAGGCTATCCTGGAACTTTTGCTATAGCCCAAGATGGCTTCAACCTCTTGCTTTGAGCTTCCCAAGAGCTGGGATTACAGGCTTATACCATGTTCCCTGATGCTCTTCCATGCTTTTAATTAGTGTACGACTAAACACGAGCCTTTGTCTCTGTTGGATTTCAGAGCAGCTGCAGATACTTACTGGGTTAGTTAACTTTTTTGAAAATAGTCAGGTACTGACATTTAATGAAGTATAGTTCCTTAATATTTCACAAGAAACTGACATTTAAAAGGTTGTTCCAGCTGGGCGGTGGTGGCACACACCTTTAATCCCAGCACTTGGGAGGTAGAGACAGGCGGATTTCTGTGAGTTCGAGGCCAGTCTGGACTACAGAGTGAGTTCCAGGAAAGGCGCAAAGCTACACAGAGAAACCCTGTCTCGAAAAAAAAAAAAAAAAAAAAAAAAAAAAAAAAAAAAGTTGTTCCTAGCTATGTTATTGGGGTGACATTCTACTGAAGCAACCTGCTAGCCAAGGTCAGTAGTCATTCTTATACTAGACCAAGTGTTAACTGGAAGGAAACTGGTGGGGACTAAGCAGGGGAAACTAAGTGGGGAACTGACTGGAGACCAGACATACTGCTGTATGCTCAGCCCTACAAGACCAGACTGCCATCTCAGCAAAAGAGCCCCAGAGGGCTTGATGGCCAACTGCCTACAGGACTTCACTCACCAAACTGAGAAAATCAGCTTCCTGCTTACGTCACATCTGCTTAGGCCTGCAGGATTTCTGCATTCACATTCCACTTACCCTGATCAAATCGGGGCTAATTTGGGAACTCCACTCATTCAAGGTCTTTTGGATACAGTCTCGAAGCTGCAGAAAGAAGCATTTTCAAAGTTAATCAACAGCTCTTCACACTCAGTACTTCAGTAAAGATGCATCAGTAAGTGAAGAAGGGAGAAAAGAGTTGTTATTAGAAAATAATATACAAGCCCATGTTTAATTCTTTAAATTTTTTGTTTCCTATACTATCAATTCAAACCTTGCTTCATTTTATTCTTATTTATTTATTTTGTTTTTTGAAACAGTCTCTTCCACATAGCCCTGGCTGTCCTGGAACTCACTGTGTAGACCAGGCTGGCCTCAAACTCACAGAGATCCACCTGCCTCTGCCTCCTGAATGCTGTATTAAAGGCGTGCACCACCACACCTGGACCTTGATTCACTCTTGGCTGGAAGTGGTAGTCTAATTATTTGGAAGGTGATTTTGTACCAGTGAAACTTTAAGACATTAAAGTATTCATAAAGAAACAAAAAGTGTATTTCAAGAACAGGTTACAAAGACTTGGGCCAGGTTGTAGTGGCACAAGCTGTTAATTCCAACCACACCCAGGAGGGGAGCGGGGCAAGTTCTGAACTGAATGGTTGAGAATCTAGATGGAGTCTGAATGGAATTCACATAAACTACTGTCACTGGGCTACATTCCTCAAAAACAAACAATGGGCTACAGAGAAGGCTCAGCAGCCAAGAGCACTTGCTGCTCCTGCAAACGGCCTGGGGTCAGCTCCCAGCACACATCAGGCAGCTCACAACTACCAGCACCTCCAGGACCAGGGATCCAATGCCTGCTTCGGGTCTGCAGGCAACTGCATGCATGTAGCGCATATACAGAGAAGCAGCAACACACACGTGCACATAAATAGAAATACGTTTTTAAAAAGGAACAGAGAATAAGTTTGGCCAGAGGAACTTCTACGTTAGATTAACCTGCGTCATACTATTAAATCTTCAAACCAGGGCTGGAGAATGGCTTTTCTTCAGAGGACCCAGGCTCGATTCCTAGGACCCATACAGCACAACTATCTGTTACCTCCAGTTGCAGATGACCAGCACCCCCTTCTGGCCTCCACAGGTGTCGGACACAAAAGTGGCACACTGACACACATGCAGGTCAAACACATATGTACACTCTTTAACAAATCGGTCTTGGTTCAGGGATACAGCGCAGGAACAGAGCAGCTGCCCAACATCCCCGAGACCAGCCTGTGGTTCAGTCGCCAGCACCAAAACATCTAAACATTCAGACTCCGAGCACAATTACAGACCTGCCAAAACCTTCTTAGAACAACCAGAACTTTCATTTTAACAAACTTTCATTTAACAAATTCATTCCAATCGCTACACAATTCTACAGCCTGAAAGCTACCAGTATGGATCATGACAATCTGTAAGTCATCTCCTAACACACAGAGGACACTTCTTACCTTATCTCCAATGTCTTTCTAACAGATTTTTATACTAGCATCACTGTATGTTGTAATTTCAAATATGCAGATACACACACACAATATCAATGTCAATGAGCATGGTCTCATATAAGATGCATATTTACTTAATGAGTAAAGACCTAGATATACATAACAGAAAATAATTAGAAAATGTTGTTTATTACTATATACTAAGCATGCTAGTGGTGTGTCTTCTACTAGGGAAAATATGCCATTTCATTATTCACTAAACTTATTTTTAAGTTTTTATTAGATCTATTCATTTTATTTTATGTGTGTTTTGCCTACATGTATGTATGTACACCATGTACGTGCTTGGTGCCCATGGAGACCAGAAGAATGCACTGGATCCCCTGGAACTGGAGTTTCAAGGTTGTGAACCACCAAGTGGGTGCTGGAAATCAAACCCCAGTCCTCGGCAAGAGCCACAAGTGCTCTCCCCTGCTGAGCCATCTCTCCAAGCCCTCACTTAACGCATTTAAAAAGACGTATTACATTGTTTATCGTGTAGGGGTAGCCTCAAGAAGCAATTCTCTCCTACACTGTGTCTCAGGAATCAAGCTCGGGGTGTCCTGCCTGGACAAGTGCCTGCTGGAGCCACCTTGTAGCTTGGCCCTAAACTTATTTTTGATCACTAATTAACCAACTCTGGCAGCTATAAATCACTGCTTTAAAGATAATCAAGGGCACAGTGGTTCACATTCTGTGGGCAATCAATGAAAAAGGAAATGAGTAACTACAAGCCCCTGAGTTGCAAAAGCATTTTCTTAATAGCAATAGGGACTAAATTTTTGAACTCACTATCTCAACTATGATTGCTTATGATAAAGACTGATACAACATGCATTTACCACTTCTTAGTACGATAATTACAAGGGACAAGAGGGTACCTATTCAAAGTAACAGAGCCACTTAACATTAATATTTGCAATCTAGAATAGTTTATGTGCCACCCACAATAACTCATCTGGATTCAAGTTATAAGATCTGTCTTGTTATGCAAAGCATAATTCAATTACACTGAAGTCAGATGAAAAATTATCTGATAATCCTTTCCACACAATTACAAATCTCTATATATAAAGAAGCAAATAAACATTTGTTTCTTTTTTTAAGTTTTGGAGTTTTTTGTTTTTCAGCTTACAAAGAATTAAGTTTCATTATTGTGTTTTTCAAAACAGAATTTGGTTCTGTAGTTTCTTTCCTCCTTATCCCCATTCCTCATCCCCTGCGTCCTCGATTCCTCTCCCATTTCTTGATACACATGACCCTTTGTCCTTCTTTTCAACACCTCCCGTTCCCCCTCATGGCCTCTAGTCCTAGTCTGTATCCTCGAAACTCCTCCTTTACACAGCATCCGTCCGTATGGGGACATCAGCGTCGTCTTACAGACCAGACAGCGCTGAAGCAGCGGGACTGACCGACCGACGGGGAGAGGCTAACGATCCTATGGGCAGTGCTTTAGCTCGCATTTGCAAACAGGCTAAGATGCTTCCCTCTGGTTTATATAGTGAGGCTCTGAGGATGCATCCCTCAATCCAAGAAGATAAGCTTCTCCTCAAAGTAGTGGCCTCTTTTCTGAAATCTTTTTTTTTTTTAAATCAATCTTGGATTCTGGACAAATTATAGAAAAGTTCCATAGTTAATTACTTGAGAAATTCATTAGCTGTATCATAAACATACAATTTTTAATCTTATAAATTACATATTATCTATATTGCCTGGATATTCACCTTGTATTTTTCTGTTTCCTAGTCTCTTTAGTCTTAGGATACTCACATATCACTAAAGATCAATTATCACAACTTAGCCAGTCATCAGATCTGGAATTATGTAACAACTTAAAAAACTACCACATAACTCAACTGGTCAAACACCCACCGTGCATGTCCCTTTGTGGGTGGTGGAACTGACTCTGATATAGCTCCCAAATAAGCCTCCTGCTTCTACT